GCTGTGGGAGAAAAACATGATTTTGAAGTCCAGGCTAATATCAAATTTTTAACAAAAATTAAGTGGACATCTTCCCAACTCAATGAAGCTTTGAAACAAGTTTATAAAAATGCTGTTTAATTAAAGAAAAAACAGCTTTTAGATGTATTTAAAGAAATATTTGAAGGAGAAACACTTAGGAGATGATTTTATTGTTTCTTGTTTATTGTTTTATTGTTTCTCTACCCTGTTTAGAGAACCTGTATCAATTTTGCAAGCTGAGTAAGATGCCCAGCTCCCAAAATGGCTTCAATAAATATCTCTTCTAATACATTCTTTAGAATGACCTTACAAATTAGACAGTATTAGCCTCATTTTACAGAGGATAACAAGAAATTTAGCCCAGTTTTCAAGATCTCTTAAGTGATTTCTAGTGATCTTTCAGATTACTCAACTTGCAACTGAAGAAAGGAAGAAACAGAGAACATTCAGAGACACAAAAGGATGGTGGAACCCACCATGCTTTCTTGATTCTACCTTCTAGTATGTTTAAGGAAGTGCAGGCATGCAAACTTACAGACCAGAAGTCAATGGCTTGGGGGAAACAACACGGTGTTCACAGAAAATGTTACATCGACTTTTTTGATGGGAGAGAAGACAGTATCAAGTAAAAATTAATGGATAGCTAAAAAAGTGATTGCTCATCAACTTGACCTCTGAAATTGGGAAGTTTCGGCATTAGTATAAGGAATGTAATTAGTTACCTTACAAGTGCTGTGGACATTGAGACCATATCACTAAGTACGGAGCCTAGCACAAGTATATCGTGGAAGCTATGGTCAACAACATCACAATGCCTCATTATTCATTAAGAACGGTCCTGTCCTTGGGAGAAAGGTGTGGTTTTCTACTGTAAACAGTTCTAGTCTCTGAAACCGAGAGGGGCAATTCTTCCTGTTCTATCCGGTTGATATGAGTCAGAATTGACTCGATAACATTGAGCTTGGTTTTGGCTTGGTCCCGCTCTGGGGTGAGGAACCCAGTACATTCCTATTTACAGGCCAACAATCTACTGTATTATAGCTACATTTATTGACTTGATTTATATTAAAATGTATCCTTAAAAGCCGGGATTACATCCTAGAGAGTATTTTATGTTATTTGACAATGATCTTTTCCATTACTTTTTACTATTTGAAAGGACTCAATTATGAGGATATACCGTAGTTTAATCTACCAATCACTTAGGAATGGGTTTTTGGGCGCTTCCACTTTTTGCTTCAAGTATCTTATACATTTACTGGTTGTTTTGATACACACCCTGCACACACAATTTGGCTGGATATTGTCAAATTACCTTTCATAAAGGTTGGAATATTTTGTATTCTGCTCAGCAAGATAGCTATAAGGGCCTAATATTAGTCAACACAATGTATTGAGGGATTTAAAAAAATCAATATCTTCGATGTTAAATGGACAAGTGTATTTCAGGTCTCTTTTATTTGCTATTTGTAATCAGTTTGAATCCCCACCCCACCACTTATTTATGTATGGATTGCATTTCTTTTTCTTTGAATGTTCGATTAACTTAGATCACTTTGTAATCTTTACTAAACACTTGCCATTTATCATGTGGATTTTTTACTTTGTTATTTATTCTTACTTAGTCCTTTC